TCACTAATACCCCCGACCCGCCTAGTGTGTCAGTAGTTTCAAATTAAATAGCTAGGATAGGGTTTGGGTTTGAAAAATTCATAAAAAAATAGAAAATTAATAAAAACAATTTTTTTCTTTTGACTTCACCCTTCCATATGACACAGATTATATGTACTAAATTTGAGATGAATCCACTGAATAGTTTAAGAGAAATCGCGCGGAGAAAGTTTTCAGACAGCGGACGGAACCTTGGTATAACTATAATAACAAGTAATCCTTAAGAAGAAAAGTTCAGGAAATTATGTGTTTCACACTCAGCTATATGGCGACAGTCTGTAAATAATCAAGTCTTGACCAGACAGTGATTGATACAATGAGCAACAATCCAATTTTAAACCGTCAGGGTATGTTGACACACAATCAACCAGGTCACTTAGTCTGACACCAATCCATTTGATCGCCTCACGCAGACAGCATAGATTGCTGGGGACCAATTCTAACCTGGAATCCCCATGGCTCGGTTCAGGAACTATATGACATTAGTAATATGGCAAACTGATGGGTTTGATAACAATCATGAAACACAATCACAAAAACATGGTAAAGGGCGGTCGGTTCAGGAAGTACAGGGTATTATTTATAGATAACCTGCAATGGCGACAGCGGGTAGTTCTGCTTGACTGCACACCTTGCAGTCGCCATAACAATAACACAATTTACCGCTATCAACACATAAACTTCCTTCAATGCATGCAAGGTAGGGTTCATTCAGCATCAGTTCAATCCAAGCAATAATATAAGCATAACAATATTATCAACAGATAAGCTTCATAGATATCTCTCCCTCTTTGTACTTCTTTGGTAATAATTTATCATGATTTATGAATGTGAAATGCGTTCACCTGACACTTCAGATATGTGATCCTGTGAAATGTTTGAAAATAAAACTGATTTTCTTCACAAAATGATAAAACCATACATTGATGCCTGCTGAATTATCTTCATAAACAGTCGTGACCAGCCTACTGGAATTACTCTCTCTCTCTCTCTCTCTCTCTCTCTCTCTCTCTCTCTCTCTCTCTCTCTCTCTCTCTCTCTCCAGTGATTGATATCATGAGCATCAATCCATGCATTTGTTGTAAGAAGAGACTAACAGGATCGGGTGGTCGCTGACTTGGTTGATGTATGTCATCGATCCCAATTGCATAGATCGATGCTCATGATATGAATCATCGGATTGTCTGGTCCAGACTCGATTATTTACACAGACCGCTGTCATATAGCTGGAATATTGCTGAGTGCAGCGTTAAACAACAAACAAACAAACAAACAGCAAATAATCTGATTGATAATCAAGACCTATATTGTAATAAAACAGGTCTCACTTCATGAAGTGCACAAAATCTGGTGAGCACCTTGATTAAAAGCATGAAAAGATTTGGAAAAGATTTATTGACGCTAACTTGTCAGAACATCAATCAGACGTCGAAACTTGGTAAATGTGTTGCCTTACTGGTACTTTTTTTGTATGAATGACGACCTTCCACGCATTCATACTTCATGTGAATCACATCCCAAAACAGTTTATGTACACAGATACCTTGAACAGAGTGTTTTTTATACTTCACATTTTCATAATAAAAGTGGACGAAAATCTAACAAATAATTTATTGTGGCCTTAACAAGATTTTAAAACTGAACACCCAAAGAAACCTCTAAAACTGATTATTCACATTCCATTTTCAAATAAATAAATGTTCTTAAACAAGTTTTATTCCACATCATAAAGTGAACTCAACAAGTCTCATTCACACAGAAATTAACATCTCAGATTAATAACAGAAACAACTTAATTAATAAGCAGACGAATGAACCACAAAAATCCTTTTCGTTCTAGAAGCTCTCTTCCAACAGAGTTTATTTCTAGGCAATCAGACACTTTACCCTGTTATGACAAATATGAACTCTACCCTTTATTTCTTCTGGAATCTTTTTCAATCCTTGAACAATTTTCCAACACATAACTTTAACCTTGCAATCCCCCTAATCCTTGCTCAAATATCTTTTTTTCAGATCAACCAACTCCACAATACTCAACACAGATGTGGGTGTGAACCCCTGTGTTTGTTTAACACTGCAACCATGAATATAATGATCTGTTTGTTTACACAAGTGATATGCACCTGTAAAGATGATCTACAATAACCTTTCCGTAAATAAAATCATATATACAGGCAACACCTCCAGAAGATTGTCTTAAATGAACGTTTCACCAAGCAATACAACATTCATCAACAGTGTGTCTGTGTCCTTATCATGCTTATGTTGATCACACCAAACTAAAACTGCCAAGGTCAGGCTAAAGACAGATACAGATATGTTTATATATTGTTGATAATGTACAACAGTATTTCTTCTTTATAATCATTGCAATCACCTGTAACCATGGTTACCGAATTTAGTGAAAATGTTCTTCATACATTAGTTTGAGGTTTGTTAAGTAAAACAGAAGCTTTTCTTCAAAACAATTCACATAACTTGGCCATCAATTTCAGAAAGATACCTTATCGTGATTAGGATCCATTTTTCTCTTGGAAGGAAACATTTAATCAATTTTTTGTTTATCAGTGACATCAACATCAGACTGGTCAGATTATGCCATTTATCACTAGTTCAAGGGCTGAGTCCAGTGACCTTAGATCTAGGCTAGCATCAGGAACAAACAGCTAGTCATCTATTATTCTTTATCTTTACCTAAGTTTAAAAAAAATGTCAGAACATTTCAGACAACAATCATTCAATGTCCTAGAAACTTAACCAATCTGAAAGCCTGCTGTGTAAGTAGCTTGACACAAAAACAGGAAAGTCAGGATTTCCTGGTAATCATCAATACAATATCTGCCACATGACAAGTGAGGTGAGGTGAAATTGGGTTTAACGTCGCGTCCAAGATTATTGCACTTATATAGCGACGTGCATGCACGTGTATGTGTGTGTGTGGCTGCTTGTACTAGTCCGGACTGATGCCGATTTATAGTGCTAGCTCACTGAGATACCATGCCGCACTTTAACATGAATACCCCACTCAGACACAGTATACTGACTCCGAGCCGACCAGTCCTTGTTTTAGCCCCTTAATGCCAAGCGCCAGACAGGGTAACAACAAGTAAAATCTTTTAACGTCTTTTTGTATGACGCGGCCTGGGATCGAACCCTGGACCTTCCGCTCTCCGGGCGGACGCTCTACCACTGGACCACGGAGGCGGTCACATGACAAGTTAGTCAGGTCTTACACTATATGAGTGAGCGAGGAAGTGAGTATGGCGTTACATTGCTTTACAAATAGTCCCAGTAGGGGGCACCAGAAATGGGCCTCACACAGTGTACACACCTACATGGGGCTCAAACCAGGGCCATTGATGCTATGAACTTATGCTTGAACTACTAAATTTCTAAATCAAAGGTTATTGGTGACCAATTACAAAAAGAAATGCACCTTGTACCATTGTTTTCACAACCATATCTTAAAATTTTTGCATCCTTTCTGAGAAAATATACTACTCAAAAGAAGTTAAGGATCACCCGATTCTTTCATAATGGTAAGGTTAATCTGTCAAGACATGAGCGATTAACTATAGTAAAATGAAAGAATCAGGTGATCCTTAACGTCTTTTGAGTAGTATATATATAGCCAATACTATTACTGTATAACAAGCAGGGATATATATATGTCAATAATCTGGTTTATTTACTTTGTGGTTCCAGGGGCTCAAAACATTTAATTGTAGGTGTCCCAGGTTAACAAATTGGGGTCCCAGGGAATTGTCAAAAATTGGAACACAGTACTGAAATGGTTCTAAAAGTGATAAACAGATAAAGCATGAGAGGATCATGAAGTTTACATACAGAAATAAATCTTCTTAAGTTATACCAAATAAAAACAGTAACATTCATTCCTAAATAAGCAAACAAATTTTTGAGATCCCTGTGGGCATGGTGGGTGCATTCTGTATATATTTGGTGTCTGTTTCCAATCTCAAGCCATACACGATCCAAAATTTCACATCCACCGTGCAGTGACAAGGTTTTTCTAATGACTGACTGAGGTCAGCATTACTCTAAATCAGGGCCCAGGACTCAAGGTATAGAAGTAAATATATGCTAAATATCAATATTTCAATGTAAACAATAGTGACATGTTACATGATATCATCACATGGGCAATAATAATCTGTTGTTATTTGTCCCCACTAACACTTGCATTAATTGCTTGTTGTAAGAGCTGACTATTATACCTCACATATGGAGTTTGCATTTATACATCATTCTACAAGATGGCATTGATTGTTCATCATGCTATCAACCAGTTTTTTTCTGGCACTGATTTTATTATTTACACTTATTACAGGCCTCCATGTCATAATGCACACAACTGTAGGATTGCTGACTGACAAAATAATTATTCACTCACTCACTCATTCCCCATGGTGGGCAAAGGTGCACACGGAGAATGGGTGTTACACATCCATGTGGGAATTACATGTTAAACGTGGATAATCAGCTGAATGAGTGAATGTTTATACCACAAGCCGACACCAACACCCACTCAAAATCATAACAAGGTATCCTAAACTTCGATTTTAGAAATTACATTAAAACTTGTTCATGTGCTAAACATGTCACAGGGCTTCATAAAAAATATTGGAAGGGAAAGATCGTATCTTCGACAATGATACTTCACAATTTGTCAATGCAAACAATAAACACCATACATATCCGACATTTATTCCTTCTCTGACATTATTTACACAAATTAACTGGCCCAAACTTAACTGTTTAACTTCACGAAGGTTACACTGCACAACTCAAGTATGCAGACAAAAGCGTTATATAGAACAAAAACAATGACTAGCAACTTGGAAAGTCATCGTTGTCATTGTCACAATGACAGTTCAAATTAACCAATGTCAACAATAAACAGATGTCTTGAAGCTTAAATATTGATGTGGTCTACTTACAAAACTGTTTCTCTTATCCTTTTCCTTCCTGTCCATCTTCAACGTGTAATAGCTCCAATTTATTCAGTAATCAAGTTTAACAGACGCAGCTGCGCCAAATGTAGGTGTGCCTTCACTACTTCATCGTAAGCAGCGTGTTTGGCTTTCAGTTTAATCAGTGCACATAACCGCTCATAGCAATTGCTAAAATCCACTCAAACACTACACATAAGTGTAGGATCGACTCTGCAATTGCAATAATGTCGATTGCTGTCAGCTTAGTAAATGTCTCCTTTCACCAAAGAACAACGGGTGTTTCAAGAACAGTTCACTTCCCAGTTAGTCATCCCTTTCCGCCATTTTCAGAAATTTACAAGTCTCGGGTCAAAGGTCATTCGTGTCCAATGAAACGTTATCAACAAAAATAATCATCCAATCAAAATATGTTTTACAACTGGGTGGGACACCTGCTATTGCTGCGGGAAAACATATTAATCTTTTCTTGCTTATATGTTGCTAATTTGAAAAAGGGATGGGAATTTTATGGAGCATCTCTATGAAAACTATCAGCTTTCTAACTTCCCAATTTATTTTTTACAATCGTTTGCTGCGGATCATTGCATTTAATTTTCACCAATGAAATTAAGCTTTACTTCGTGGAAGAAATATGGCGGGTGATGAATTGGCTCGTAGGGGATGGTAGGTGTGCATTATAAAAATTATAGGAAGAAAAGTACACGTGTGTGTGACACATGAGCATGTGCATTCTTTCCATTTACTTGTCTGTATTTATGAAAAGCCACAGTTATTTTGCGTCGCCGTGTAGTTATACTTGCCCAGAATAGGAATGTGTAGAATTTCTGACTTAGCAACTTTTACTTTAGAAGGTGCATGACAGAACGGTAGAAGAGTTCCTTTGAGGACATGTGACTGCAATTACTCAGTTATTGAAAGTAATACTGTTGACTTTTTTAGGACAGTGCTTGCCCTCAGAATTTGCTTGCCCACACACCTCAGTGATGCTTTGCTTTAGCCAGATCACTTGAAATGTTTGCTTGTGACTGCACAATTAGGCCTAGTTACAGAAAACCTAAATTTAAATGACGTTCTCAAAATATTCTTATCAGCATGAACACATTTGGCGCTTCAACTGAATCTCAACACACAGATTTCCAACTTTCCGTTCAAAATAATTGACCATAGCTAATATATTCATGACATAATGACATTAAAATTCGCCACTCATTTGTCAGATGTGTTTTTTTTTAGATTAAAGATGATAGATCTTGGGCAACATCAGCAGAAAAAAGTTCTTGATTCCAAATATTTCACTTGTAGGTCCAACCATTCATGTGAAAAAAACTACCTCAAAAACTTTTTCTGACTTGCTGCAAGAATGGTGTAACCTTAGGTTCCGGGTACATTACCCTTCTACCTATGGTCACTTCTACTTATCAACTGCTCCTTGGTTCTAGGGATGATGTAGCTCTCTTGAAAATCACAAGTCAGATGGTTGGCTCCAGCCTCTTTTTATTTATGATAGAATTAATCATAAATATGTACACATGGTCCTCAGATTAGTTCTTGTTGTTGCCTGATATAAATACAACACATACCTAGATGATGGTTGAATAGCCTGATGGTTTTTCTGATGAACGTTAACTCTACGTCTTTTCTGACTCGGGATCCCAAAACCACAGTGAACCTTTCTGTTCAGCTGTCTGCTCCCGACTCCCCGCACCACTCTCGGACAACTCACTAAATACTATTCATGATAATTTTTGCTCCTCACACCGAAATAGTATTTGACGTCATGTGAAATGAGTCCTAACGCTCACCTCCATATGAACCCCAATTTCCGTTCCAATCAGTTCTTCTATCAAGTTCTTCTAACCAAACACTCAACTAATTTCCCAAATTAATGGTCAAATCATTGGTCAACCGAACATATCCACAACTTCAAACAACCCAAGATGTAAACCAAATACTCTGTCAGATTGTGACTCAAATGAAACCTGTCATTTAGACATTCCAGTCAGTAGTAGCTTACAGAAATATTTGATCCCATCCGGACTTACCAACTTCTGTCCCATCAGATTCATTTCCTTATACTACAAGACCGTATTCTACCAATTTCCTCAGATTAATGAAAAGCCATCTCTATCACTAAGAGAAGCAAAATCAATAATCATATGTCCTGGGGGTTATGCCCTCACCCCGTACGGTCACTTCTCTCATATGCATCCAAATTCTACCCAAAAGCTCAATTTAGTAAACTACATTTTAAGTAAATATTAAAAAACCCTTTTTCCAAAATACCCTGGTTATAATGGTTCCAAACTTTCTGATACAGCTTTAACTAACACACTCACACAATAGGTAAATTGTTCTGATGCTAATTGAAACATATGTCATATTATATAGAGAAAACAACTTAAAAGAGCAATTCTTTTGCAGTAAAGTTATCAGAATTAATTTGAGTGATGGTTAGATATTAATTGACGATAGATCAGTTTACCTGTACCAGTGCAAGGATCAGTTGTAAAATTTTGGGGAAATCAGTTATGGAGAAAATGTTATTCAAAAACAATATCAACTGTTTTTTTGAAAAGTTCATTCTTTTTTTAGATGTATTCATGACATATATTAACACACTCTTCAGCATGTTCAGTGTGGAAGCAAACAGGCATTTTTAACATGTTAGGGATGAGACGGTTCTTGGACATGTAAATTGAAAAAAAATGTAACAAATGCAATCATCACCAATGATTGATAAGTCAGCGTTAGAAATTGGCACTAGTCCTCTAGTCCTTGCCAAACTGCCCAATAGTTAAGGAATCATAAGGACAAGTAGAATTTTCCTTTTTAAGTGTTTTGCTTTATGTTATCATTATAAGGACTAGTGGACTAAATATGTTAGTTTCTTAGTTTCTGAAATTAGATTGCTTGTTATAAGCAATCGATGATGATTCCATCCAAAATGATTCCACTGTATATTTTCACAGGCATCTGACAGCAGAAGGCATCGCAGAGCTAGAACAAAATGGGAAAAGAGGAGTGGATCAGCTCATCAAAACAGCCATTGATGTACGTTTTGTATATCTTATAAATCCTTTATATGCTTTATACGATGTATGAGGACATGCATGTTTTCCTTCCTATCACTGTCTACAGCATTCAATGAATTTACCTTAGTGTTTATCTTTAAGCACCTTTCAATGATCGGCCAATTGATCCATGATGACTAAAACATGTAACCGCCACAGGTTCATTAACAACTTTCGAATTCTCTCCCGTCAAGTTTTTCGTGTCGGCCATTTTGACATCTTGTACTTGATGTAAATCTTCTACGAGGCACTGTCATTGTGACTGACTTACTGAGATAGTTCTTAAAAGACTTTTCTCATCTAATCGTTATATTATTTGAATACATGTGTTGGGTCAGATGTCTCTGAAAAGGAAGTTGTGCATAAATACGCTCAAGTCACCTCTTTCTTTGAGGAACTATTTTATTCTGCGATAGAGCTGGTTGTTGTATGGCCAGTGTAAGCATGAAGTCACACATACTAAATAAAATCGCAAGCTCCGACGTTCATACAGTTTGGCCCTCACTATATGAAGGTTCATACTCCAATGAACTCACACAAAGTGAAAGTCAATTCTTAAATGTTGTTTTACAGACTAGCCTTTCATTATTTTGCAAATTTAAAAAAAACTGTTTGACTAAAAATGTTGGTTTTCTGAAAAAAATAATATTTTTGTTGTGAGCAAACGAACATCACATTTTTTTTGTATGTTGACCCCCCAAAAATAATATATTCATCTGTTAGGGGGCTGTTCTCAATGTAATATTCCATTTTTATTTTGATATTTTGTTGATATCAGTGCATTTTGTTTTCTATCAATTATCAAAATAAGTATTTGTTTGTGTTTAGCTGTCAGTGTCCACATTGAAACATAGATGAAATTTATTACATCAACCCTTACCGGAATGTAGTTGCTTAAACATCTATAACAAATAAATACACTTAACATGTGTTCCATGAAGCACATCAGATAGATAAACTCATACAGAGACACATATGACACACAGGAAACATCAATGAGAACATGAATTGATATTACTTGTTTGCAGACTGACTTGCGGGATGTGGGAGATAAATGGCTGCCGGAGGAGCTACACAAGGGCAGACTGGACTATGTACGTCTTCCATCAACTTTTCATCATATTGTTTGAAATTATTTTGGTGCATTATGTGTATATATTGGTTCATTCATGAGGGGGGTGGCACGAGTGGCCCAGTCGTCTAAGGCGCCACAATTCACTGTGCAGAGTTGCCTCCCTTGGGCATGCCAGAAACCTATGATTGTGGGTTCGATTCCCGGTTTGCCCTGATTATGTTTCTAGGTTTGTCAGCACCATGCCAGTGCTCGTGGGTTTCATTGAAGTGGTAAACATCTGAGACCTGCATCACTTCGAGCTTTCCTCCCACATTAAGCTGACACGCCGTGATATAACTGGAATACTGCTAAAAGCAGCGTTAAACCCAACTCACTCACTCCTTCAATGTAATAATGTCAGTCTTAGCATTAATTTTTTTCTCTTTGTTGGTCCTGGTATCAGTGAAATATAGGCCACTGCTGCAAAGACGTAACATTAGTTTTGTCTATTAACTCATAAACATCTTTTTGAACCAATGAGGACATTTTTGTTGACATTCACTGCAGACTTGGGACCAAATATCTGCCTCTGAGCAGGTCCAGTTAAGTCCCTATGATTTCTACCTGGTTGTGTATTCAGCAATCTCATTAAAATCAGATCTTAGTTCTCGCTATCGCTAAACAAAGATCTGAGGACATCCCGTTACGGGTCACGTCAGAACGACCTTTCATTCAACCAATCAGAGCGTCGCTTACAAGATCATGAAAGTGACAGACGGAATGTGTTTTCTGATCATGCAACCTTGAAATGTTTAAACGGAGGGTATTCCGAACGACTGTTACAGGTTTTATGATTATATCCATACAATCTAGGCCATCTGTAAGCCATTCCAGAATGTTCTTTTTATCAGTTTTAAATTTTTTAACCGAGAATAAATATGTTTCGAAGTGTAGTCGCCAGTTTGAAACTAGTGTCGTAAAGCTCGAGAAAGCTGCCTTCTGATTGGCTAATGTCGATTTCTTGTCAGTCATTTCATTGATCGGTCAAAGTTCGCGAGAGGTCGTTCTGACGTGGGATGTCCTCAGATCTTTGTTTAGGGGTAGCGAAAACTAAGATTTTAATGACTTTAATGAGATTGTGTATTCAGTCTCTAGGGAGTGGCTGATAATGTCGCCATGCATTAGTGTGCATTAGGTGGTTGGACTCTGCCAGTAGACACTTTCCTTTCTTTGTTGTTTAACACCGCACTCAGCAATATTCCAGCTATATGACGGCGGTCTGTAAATATTCAAGTCTGAACCATACAATCCAGTGATTGATATTATGAGCATCGATCCACGCAATTGGGTTACAATGACATGTATCAACCAAGTCAACGAGCATGACCACCTAATCCCGCTAGTCGCCTCTTACAACAATCATGGGTTGCTGAAGACCAATTCTAACCTGGATCTTCATGGGTCGCAGGGGCCTCTAATTGAGAGGTATTAGAATTGTGAATAATCTTTAGTGAAATATCATTTTGGTATAAGTGTGTAACAAGCAGAACATGTTGTTCATGTTACAACATGAACTATAAAATAAAAGATAATTGACATTCTATAAATGAAAAGAACAAAATGTTGTGTGACGTTGTGTTGTTTATTCAATATTGTTTTGTATACAGATTCAGGGGCCGGCAGTGCTGCAGTTGATGAAGCTACGGAACATCTCGGCCCCCAAAGAAAATGAGGAATCTCAAACTGCTCCTCGTCTTCTCCGTCTGTCACTGACTGATGGTCACATCAACTGCACAGCCATTGAAATAGAGAACCTCAAAAACATCAAGTAAGGAATCCCACGTATGGGACACAGTTTCACTGAGTGTGCATTGATGTCGGGGGTACATTAACCAAGAGAATGTCATTTTACTAAATACTATAGTTTCGCAGGGGGCACGGATGGCCAAGTCGTCTAAGAGGCCACAATTTGTTGTGCAGAGTTATGTCCCTTGAGCACACCAGAAACGTATAATCGTGGATTCTAATCCCGATTCTCCCCGGTTATGTTTCTAGGTTTGTCAGAACCATACCCGTGCTGGCTTTTACCAAAGTGGGACACGTCCATGACCTGCATCACTACAGGCTTTCTCCCACATTAAGCTGACACGCTGTGATATAACTGAAATACTGTTCAAAGAGATGTTATCCCCAATTCACTAACTCATTATTTTTGTATAATTGTGATGTAACTGAAATGGGTTTCAACTAGTGATGCCGGTGAGAAGCCTCTCAACCAGGGGTCCGGAAAATTTAAAATCCCAATCGGACATTTGCATTTAGGCCACGCCCCCTTCAAATAGCGTATTTTAGTACGACTTTTCACACACATTACAAGTTTACGTATTCATAATATGATGAATTATGAATTGTTTCAATTTAAATTGTTTAATTCACCGGACAATTAATAACAAATAATATCATTTTAGATTTACATGGAAAAAATACGTTTGTTTCTGTTATAATAACGATCTGTTAACGTAGTGAACGGTCTCATTAATATTCATGAGTTATATTCATAAGTCTGCTCAAGTGTACGCGTTGTAACATTTGGATCGAGACTATTATCCCATATTTGGTTATCACATGACCTCACAGGAAAAGGGTTTTTTTAAACTAAAGATTTTTTTAAAAACAAGACAGATAATTTTATCACAAATACTAAAATAACAATAGTTATTTGAATACTTTTTTCATCTGTACTTAATTATTGACCATAAAAAAATTGGATATCGATCGTCCGAGAAAGCAAAATGGCGGTCAATCAAGATACGACTAGCTACTGAAAACAATAAAATCTGCAAATCCTCATTGTATGTCAACCAAGTGAAAGTCGTTAGCCAAGACTTACAAAATGATCGTCCAGACTTTGAGGGTCTGGCAGATCCGGTCGACTGGCTGTCGTCACGCTTTCGCTTCTTGTCTGAGGTTACGTATCGTAGCATTGTGAGGATAATGAGGTACATCGATGATGCAAGGTATTGCAAGGTCCAGTTGTAAACACCTTTCACTCAAATTAACAAGATGTTTTCAGTAATTAATCCTCGATTAATCAGTGTCAACTCAGTTTATTGCCTATTACAGTGATTGATAGATTGGACTATCATGTAGGTACGATGTATTTACAGCAATCAAAACAAACAAGGCTTGTCAGTGTAGTTAATCTTCATTGTGTTGCAACTGCAGACAGAAACTGCTCAGTCCTAACTGTTGATCATGTCCGGTCAAAATTTAAGAATGTCCGGACAATACTTTTTAAAATGTCCGGTAAGCAATATTTTAAAACGGACATTTGAGATTCCCAATCGGACATGTCCGGCGCATATGACGGTTTCCGGATCCCTGCTCTCAACAGAGAAAGTAAGTTTGGGTATGTGAGTACATGGTTGACGTCCAACACTTCTGTTGCAGCCTTGGAACTCCTCCTGGCACCAAGGTGATGCTGGAGGGCGCTGTTGATGTCGAGAATAACTTCCTGTTACTGACTAACAAGAACTTCCGGTGTCTTGGAGGGAAAGTAGAGAAGTTGGTGGAGACATGGGAACTGAAGCGAGTGAGTGGTGCTTATTTCAAGAACTGCGTGGGGATTCTGGGTTAGGCCAGGTACCCAGAAACCAGTTCTAGTCATCGTGGCGACTAAATGTATTAGGTGGTCGGACTCGGTGGTTTGGTTGATTGTCATTGAACATCAGCAGCATGGATTGTTGCTCATAATATCATCCATTGGATTGGGTATGGCTTGAATATTGCTGAGTGCAGCATTGAACAATGAACAAGATAAATATTTCTCGAAGCTATGGAATTTTGTAATAATAATAATAACAATAATGTGTACTTACATTGCACTAGACTCCCTTCTTTCGGTGCATGCTCAAAGCGCTAACATTATTACCCGGGTCAATTTATCAGTGTGCACTCGTTTATCATTCTCAGCTCCCTGGGGAGTATACAACCCAAGCTGCCTGTTAAGCACTATAGGTTAACTGCCACATTACAATCTCAGTTGTACATGCCATTCTCGTTTATCCATTCTGCCAGAAACCTGGGTTCAGACTGTGGGTTCGAATCCGGGTTCAGATATTTATTTTCTAACATTTTGATAATCGCAATGTTTAATCAATTTCATGAAGAACTTTCAGTGTTAGGTTTTGGAATTTATAGATATATTTATTTATTTTTTCAATGGCAGAAACTGGCCAAACAGTCTAGATCGGGTGTGCAGACTGAAGGCGGGCCACCTTTGTTTGTTCCATTTGGAAAGAAGATGCCATCAAATGACTACAATCCCGGTCATAGAGGTGAGACAACAAACACATTTAGTTCCAGGTCCCCATGGGCACTCTTGGAATCATTATGAAATCATTACTATGATGAGTATTATTATTTTAAGCCAGTGGGGGAAACAGGGACAAATAAAATCTGATGACCATATGAACACACTTAAGGCTTAAAAAATAAAAGAATTGGTTCTCAGGCAATGGTTTTGAAAATTTAGTGGCGGCAGGCAGTTGTGTTTTTTCTTTATTGTTCAAACTAGTATATACTGTAAATTTTGATATTAATGTGGGCGTGAATTAAATGTGATAAATGCGAGTGGTCTTTGCTCGCATTATTAAACATCGCATTTATATCAACAATAAGACATTTTGGATAGCAGATATACCAACTTAGACATACGCTGAAAACAAACAACTATGTATTCAACATCACTGTTTATTGAGCAGCACTTGTTACAAGTATATAAACAATGTCATTCAAACACTAATTACATCCTGTGAATTGTCACTGCTGGGGTCAAGACAAGCGTTCTACTCACTCATGTCATCACTGATCACACCTGCAAGTCTAAACAGACACCACCCAACACAGTGTCTTTGCTCTTTGCGACTGCATCAAAGGCCGACACGAGCCAGCGTGCACGTATTGTTTTAGCTGAAGTACTCTACTCAGCGCTAATAAGCGGTGTTATTTGGTGTGTGATTGGATTAATGTGAGGATTCTCCTGTAAACCTGACAGAGGACATTTTGTTTAGATATAAATCCACTGATGCTTGAGAGGAGGGGGTGTCGCATTCATATTGAGTCACATTTTTGGCTAGGGGCCAGCGGTCGCATTCTTTTGGAGACGCATTAATTTCACGATTTACTGTAATTAAATAAATAGTTGTCAACCTGGGAAAGGGCCTCCCTACACAAATGTATTCCTTGATGAGTAAAATACTGGAATATGTATTGGACTACCAGTGTGTGGATAATACACACATATAATGAGCTTTGATTTTCACAATGCGAAGACCTTATCATGACTGCTGTCACCTTGAGCCTCCCTCACTCCCTAGTCAGCATCTTGTTCCTGTGTGATGGTTGTAAGTTTGAGTTGTTTGTATCCAGCACCAGAGAAGAAGGAGAACTTTAAGTCCTTGGAGTCTTCCAAGAAGGATAAGAAGACAGAAGAGAGCGAGTTCGAGCAGCAGAGACAAGCAACTATAGCCGAGGCTCTACAGGAGGGGAAGACAAAGACATTCGGTGGGGGGATGAAACAGGTGAGGCTCTACAGGAGGGGAAGACAAGACATTCGGTGGGGGGATGAAACAGGTGAGGCTCTACAGGAGTGGAAGACAAAGACATTCCGTGGGGGGATGAAACAGGTGAGGCTCTACAGGAGGGGAAGACAAAGACATTCCGTGGGGGGATGAAACAGGTGAGGCTCTACAGGGGGGGAAGACAAAGACATTCGGTGGGGGGATGAAACAGGTGAGGCTCTACAGGAGGGGAAGACAAAGACATTCGGTGGGGGGATGAAACAGGTGAGGCTCTACAGGAGGGGAAGACAAAGACATTTGGTGGGGGGATGAAACAGGTGAGGCTGTACAGGAGGGGAAGACAAAGACATTCGGTGGGGGGATGAAACAGGTGAGGCTCTACAGGAGGGGAAGACAAAGACATTCGGTGGGGGGATGAAACAGATGAGGCTCTACAGGAGGGGAAGACAATCGGTGGGGGGATGAAACAGGTGAGGCTCTACAGGATGGGAAGACATTCGGTGGGGGATGAAACAGGTGAGGCTCTACAGGAGTGGAAGACAATCGGTGGGGGGATGAAACAGGTGAGGCTCTACAGGAGGGGAAGACAATCGGTGGGGGGATGAAACAGGTGAGGCTCTACAGGAGGGGAAGACATTCGGTGGGGGGATGAAACAGGTGAGGCTCTACAGGAGTGGAAGACAGACATTCGGTGGGTGGATGAAATAGGTGAGGCTCTACAGGAGTGGAAGACGAAGACATTCGGTGGGGGGATGAAACGGGTGAGGCTCTACAGGAGGGGAAGACGAAGACATTCAGTGGGGGGATAAAACACATGGGCTCTACAGGAGGGGAAAACGAAGACATTCGGTGGGGGGATGAAATGGTAGAGGCTCTACAGGAGGGGAAGACCAAGACATTCGGTGGGGGGATGAAACAGGTGAGGCTCTACAGGAGGGGAAGACAAAGACATTCCGTGGGGGGGATGAAACAGGTGAGGCTCTACAGGGGGGGAAGACAAAGACATTCGGTGGGGGGATGAAACAGGTGAGGCTCTACAGGAGGGGAAGACAAAGACATTCTGTTGGGGGATGAAACAGGTGAGGCTCTACAGGAGGGGAAGACAAAGACATTTGGTGGGGGGATGAAACAGGTGAGGCTGTACAGGAGGGGAAGACAAAGACATTCGGTGGGGGGATGAAACAGGTGAGGCTCTACAGGAGGGGAAGACAAAGACATTCGGTGGGTGGATGAAACAGATGAGGCTCTACAGGAGGGGAAGACAATCGGTGGGGGGATGAAACAGGTGAGGCTCTACAGGATGGGAAGACATTCGGTGGGGGATGAAACAGATGAGGCTCTACAGGAGGGGAAGACAATCGGTGGGGGGATGAAACAGGTGAGGCTCTACAGGATGGGAAGACATTCGGTGGGGGATGAAACAGGTGAGGCTCTACAGGAGTGGAAGACAATCGGTGGGGGGATGAAACAGGTGAGGCTCTACAGGAGGGGAAGACAATCGGTGGGGGGATGAAACAGGTGAGGCTCTACAGGAGGGGAAGACATTCGGTGGGGGGATGAAACAGGTGAGGCTCTACAGGAGTGGAAGACAGACATTCGGTGGGTGGATGAAATAGGTGAGGCTCTACAGGAGGGGAAGACGAAGACATTCGGTGGGGGGATGAAACGGGTGAGGCTCTACAGGAGGGGAAGACGAAGACATTCAGTGGGGGGATAAAACACATGGGCTCTACAGGAGGGGAAAACGAAGACATTCGGTGGGGGGATGAAATGGTAGAGGCTCTACAGGAGGGGAAGACCAAGACATTCGGTGGGGGGATGAAACAGGTGAGGCTCTACAGGAGGGGAGGACAATCGGTGGGGGGATGAAACGGGTGAGGCTCTACAGGAGGGGAGGACGGAAGACATTTGGTGGGGGGATGAAATGGAAGAGGCTCTACGGGAGGGGAAGACAAAGACATTCGGTGAGGGGGATGAAACACATGAGGCTGTAGAGGCGGGGAAGACAAAGACATTTGCTGGGGTATTGCAACAGAGTCAAAATACCATTGGCAGTTGGGATTTATAGTTTCTTAAATGCTAAGATGATGAACGGTGTGTATTAGTTACTGCTTGTCTCAGACTGATAGTTGATGCAAAAAGACCAAGTGAGGTAAAACACCACATCTCTGTTGGCAGCCTGTGAGTGACAAAGATGTTGCTCGTATTGTGGAGATGGGCTTCACGCCAGACCAGGCAAGCACAGCACTACGGCAAACCAATGGCAACGTCAACGATGCCATCAGCTCCCTCATCTCAAGGGGTGGCAGGGGTCTTGGACGTGGAGGGGATCGAGGCGGGGATCGAGGAGATAAGTTTGAAAGACGACAACCAATGGAATCAAGACAAGGTGTGGTGGATTTGTTCACAGCTTGTAAAATATACATTATTGAAGAGTTTATAATTTAGGAATTACTCAAAGAGATTGTATTTTTAACAGTTCTTGCAAATCTTTTACTAATGTTATTTGTGTAACAATATATGGAATTCTTATGATTGTACAATATTAATAACAATTTAATAACTCAATAGTATTGTTGATAGTATGCATAACAGTTGACAGTTCAGTGGCCACCATTAGTTGCAATAAAACATGAATTATGAATCAGAAAAATGTTTTACTGCCAAATGAGTCGATAAGCAAGGACTACGACTTCTTCAGATAAGACTTACTTCCTTTTAATTTGAGTAGCGACAGGAAGGAAAATGGTTGAGGTTTGACATTGTCGGCAGTGCTTTTTTCATTTTGTGTTTCATTACAAGATAGACACAATTTTTATGGATAACAACTTCTTTAATACTGTGAAAAGCGACGTTTCGGTATAGATCCTTATACCGTTGTCAAGCAAGACTGAATGAGGGCAGAATATATATAGCAAGTGGAGGATTAACAGTAGAGGATTAACAGTAACAACAAGGGCATACATGAGTGGGATAACATAGGTAGGTTTTTTTAATCTCATAATGATCGTTATATGTTGCCATCAACAACGAAGCGCCATTTTGTGAATCGGTGCATATAGAATTATGATCCCGTGAGAAAATATATCGGCTAGTGCGAAGACGTGCAGTTTGAATTCAGCATCGTAAGCGTGGCGTTTTCGTTTCAAACTCATGATGAGAATGTCAGTCAGTAAAAATATACCAACTTTTATAACCCCCTTACACCACTATTGTATGTTAATCCAATTGAATTAAATAAACTATCATACTATGAACACATTGAATGACCATCACTTACTCACAGGCTTCTCCAGTTTAATAAACTAATCTCTCGAAAACAAAGGAATTAAGCCCCTACTCCCAACACGATCGCTAAGCACCCACAACTTGAAAATGTTTGTGTAAACAACATGACAATACCAATCGGCCCGTTATTATCAATGCTCATTTCCTTGTGTACCGTGTTGCTTTAAACAACAGGAAGCAATCACAGTGGTCACCGTTTGTGACGTCACAGGAAACAGCTGATCACATGTTTTTGCAAATGGCGAACGGAATAACTCGCAGATACAGTTGTTTATTTGCCTCTTTCAATAAAGGTAGACACTTGTTCACTATCAATTTATGAACTTTGCAAAACGTACGTAATAGCTATTGGCGATTTCATTTGGGGATTATATATTATAGCTGTGAATTACATATATTGTTACATGTAAAGATCGCGGAGTTTACGAAGAATGATAAACTTTGAACATTCAATTGAAAACTTATTATCGGAAGTAGTAACATGCATAACTTTTTTTTTAATAATGACAACATTGGTGTATAATAATAACTTTATTGATAATTTATAACAATAATGTCTCTAGTCGTGGCAACTTCCAAACTTTCGGGAAGTTGTTATCTAACGGACCGTCATTCAGGCGATGTTTTTGACCGATCACGATCTGAAAAATACTATCATGAAAGTGTATCCCGTGGATAAGCCGACCCCTTTCTACAGAATCTTTTTTCTGGTCCTCAAAATTCGGCTTATACGCGGTCATATACGGTAGCTAGAAGCCAACGGGGCATGAAGCCAATAAACAGGTGATTATTGTTTGATGAGTTCATAGTAGGCGGGTTAGGATGAAATGATCTCTGTTGATTGTTGGGTTGTGGCGGCGAATGTGGACTGCTTCTGTTAGTTTTCTTTTGGTGAAATCATGGAGGTTGTTGGCGAGGATTTGGACGTTGTCCCAGTTGATGATGTGATTGGGACAGTTGATGATATGGTCCGAGATGGCTGATTTGCTGTCGGATTTGATGGTGGAGGTTTTATGCTCTTTGATTCTAGTGTTGATTGGGCGGGATGTTTCACCTACGTAAGATGTTGTTACTGTTAATCCTCCACTTGCTATATATATTCTGCACTATGTCCCTCATTCAGTCTTGCTTGACAACGGTATAAGGATCTATACCGAAACGTCGCTTTTTACAGTATTAAAGAAGTTGTTATCCATAAAAATTGTGTCTATCTTGTCATCCGCCAACTTCTAAGTAATGCCTATCAAACAAGTTTGTGTTTCCTTGATTTAGATAATTATCAAGTCTTGACATTGGTTTCCTACTATGGCAACAGTTGACTACAATCGCAATACTGTTGCAATAGTGAGGGCTACTATTGCAATACAATCACCCTCAATCGTGAACATAGCCCTAATAGTCACCCTAACATTTGAGAATATTACCTAATTATCCCCGCCCAACGAAGTTGGCGGGGGATATAGAAACGGGCTCCGTCCGTCCGTCACGTTTCGTTTCCGGAGCATAACTCATAAACCATTCAATATTTTTTTTCATCAAACTTTGCAGGTCTGTCAGGTACATGCTGAACTGTTGCCTTTTGCTATTGAGATATTTTAGAAATTTTTATTTTTTACGTTTCCATGGCAACAAGATGGACTTAGGTTCTGTGAGGGTAGGGTTCGTTTCCGGAGCATAACACATAAACCGTTCAATATTTTTTCATCAAACTTTGCAGGTCTGTCAGGTACATGCTGAACTGGTGCCTTTTGCTATTTAGAAATTTTAGAAATATTTATTTTTTACGTTTCCATGGCAACAAGATAGACTTAGGTTCCAAACTCATCTTTTTTTTACAATTTCCATGACAAGTTCCACCTCGGTTAAAAAAGGTTAGGGTTTGTTTAGATTTAATTATGTCATAAATTCTGCAACAGGGGCGGGGGATATAGCCACGTTAGTGGCAAACTCTTGTTTGTAATTACATTGCTTCCCTTAATATGTTTAGGATAGTTTGACAGCAACATTTTTGCCAGCTGTGTGAACTTAACTAACATTGATTGTTTAGGTGGGCGTGGCCGTCGAGGGAGAGACCGAGATGAGGATGAAGAGGGTGGGGCATCATCCAGACCGAGTGGTCCTGCCACACTCTTTGATTTCCTCGAAACAAAGATTCCAGTCAAGGAAGGTAGTGTGATATATGATTAATTTAATTACCCTAGACTTCTTCATCACTTACAGAACCAGTGTGTGGTATCAACCTGGTCAATCATTTCTAGTTATCTCTAGGGGCACGGGTGGCTCAGTTGTCTAAGGCACCACAACTCACTGTGCAGAGTTGCGTCCCTTGGGCACACCAGAAACCTATGATTATGGTTCGAATCCTGGTTGGCCCCGGTTATGTTTCTAGGTTTGTCAGCTCCATACCCGTGCTCGTTAGTTTCACCGAAGTGGTAAATTTCTAAGACCTGCATCACTTTGGGCTTTCCTCCCACATTAAGCTGACACGCCGCAATATAACTGGAATACTGTTAAAGGCGGCATTAGGCACAACTCACTCTAGTCATCTCTTGTCGCTCCAAGACCACCTCCGTGGTCAAGAGGTAGGTCATCCGCCTGGAGAGCGGAAGGTCCGGGGTTCGATCCCCGGCCGCGTCATACCAAAAGACGTTAAAAGATGGTACTTGTTGTTACCCTGTCTGGCCCACGGCATTAAGGGGCTAATACAAGGACTGGTTGACACGGAGTCAGTATACTGTGTCTGAGTGGGGTATTCATGTTAAACTGTGGCATGGTATCTCAGTGGGCTAGCACTATAAATCAGCATCAGTCTGGACTAGTACAAGCAGCCACACACACGTGCATGCACATCGCTATATGAGTGCAATAATCTCTGACGCGATGTTAAACCCCATTTCATCTCACCTCACCTCACTTCCCCACCAATAAACACATCAGCTTAAACCCCTAAAACAGCCTGCTCACAGTCAGTTTATATTCCAGAGTCGAAGTCGTCCAGTGCCTCAAGTCGTCCCACCTTCAACAACAAGTCATCTACAGACAGCAGCTCAACTCGCAGCAACTCAGGGCCCAATGGCAGGCCTCACTATGAAAATAACTCCAGCAGGTCAGGGGGCTACAAGTCCACACCAAACCATCACCATCAACAATCTCAACAGCAAGACTTCTCAGGGCAAAACTTTCAGAATCGCAAACAGAATCTTCCACCGAGGTTAGCTGGGAGGCACGGCCAAGATGGCCCAAGCTACCACCAACAGAAACCTTCTAGTCAGCAGTTCCCAAATTTTGATTCTGAGAGGACTCAGCGGGGAGAGGATTCCCATCGGAGAACAGACAATCAAACCCGGTCCAACCAGTCAGGCTATAATGCTTACGAACGTGGTCAAAAAGATTTTAACCAGTCCCGTCCAAAGTCCGGATCATACAATTACAATGATCCGCAGGAATACAAGGAAAATAGATATAATAGTCGGCAAAACTCACAACACAATTCTAAAAACGATGGCCACCAAGAAGACAGACGTGATAACCGTTTTGACAACCAAAGAGGCAGTCGCCAAGCTCAAGGTCAGAGAAGTTCAAGGTCACAGCAAGATGGATCAAGGAAGCCATATGAGGTAAACGAAAATATATGAAAAGAGCAGGTTACCAGGCAAGCAGTCACTGCAGCCTGCTAAGTAGAGACCATTTTGGTGCCCAAATCAATCCTTTATTGGCAACCTTTATTTGTCACCTCCTCGGCACTTGGTTACTTGAAAGTAAACATAACTGGTGACAATATCTGTTTTAGATATCTGTCGGTTCCTAAAATCTTAAGGTCCTAAGGTAATCATGTTAGGAGCCACTTGGCTCCCCAACAAAAAACAAACTTAGAGGGCTGTGCTGCTGTGAAAAACCTGGAACATGTCTGGCTAGTGTAAAAAAACATTCACTTATTCAGTCAACATTAGGGCAAGTTATACAAAAAAGCTGCAATTCTGAAGCAATTCTTGGACAGAACAGGAGGATTGGAGAGTTACAATATGTGACCTGGGGATCATGTGCCCTACTGAGTGTTGCTCATGCTGTCAACCACCATTACACTTGCCCTTAATAACACTTGCTTTAGTTTGTGAATGATAGCCTGGTCACATCTTTCATGTTTCACAGCAACAGCAGTCACAACAACATCGCCATGAGGGTCCCCCACAAGGTGAAGGACATTCGTGGAGGAAGGGAGATCAGGTCATGGCCAAGTACTGGGAGGACAGTCAGGTGAGTGCAGGCGGGGGACAATGTTTCCGACCCATGAAGATCCGGGGTGGAGTAGATCTTCAGCAACCCATGCTTGTCGTAAGAGGCGACAAACGGGATCGGGTGGTCAGGCTTGCTGACTTGGTTGATGCATGTCATCGTAACCCTATTGCATAGTTCAATGCTCATGATATCAATCACTGGATTGTCTGGTCCAGACTTGATTATTTACAGACCGCCGTCATATAGCTGGAATATTGCTGAGTGCGGCGTTAAACAACAAACAAACAAAAACAATGTTACTATCACTGTGTATGTTTGCTTCTGTCCCAGGGTTCCAAATTCCAACAGCACCATTAAGAGCCTGTTAGGGAGTAAATATGTATTGAATAATCAGAATGAGTGACAACTTCCCGAGGCAAGGGAGTTAACTGACTATAAATTTCCAATTTCCATCCTCGCCAAACCAGCCTGGAATAATGGAGTTACATTTTGCCGGGACTAACTCGTCGATGCATTGAACAATCAAAATCACGATAACGAATCGACATCCTCTTGTAAACTGCCATGCAGATTTCAGTCGATTGCAGGATTTGTAAGGCATGTGAACCGCCAACTCCGTCAACAGGTATTTTAAAAATCCTTTCATGTTTCTAATCAAGCTAACGTGATTTGATGCACTTTGCGAAGTAAGACCCAATTTATGACAATATAGATATTGATTATCAATCTGATCATCTTGACCAGGCGCCGCCATTTTGTTTGAAGCAAATGTAAGTGATGTGGGAGGTGGAATCTGATTGGTCTGTAGGAGGGACATAGAAGGGACATAAACTCATAATAGCCAATGGAGGCGCTACAATCAAGCCCAGAAATTCCAGCCTAGTTCGGCAAGGGTGGAAACAGGGCTTTTACAGTCAGTTAACTCCCTTGCCTCGGGAAGATGAATGAGTTATAACATGTCACTAAGTATTCAATGGTTCAGAAAATTGGAGCCCTTAATGTTATGTGCCTCGCACAGTCCTCCCACACCCATCATGGAATGCTGTGTGAGTGGCTACAGTTCCTGGCTACAGGTCCTGGTTGTCTGTTGCAGTTCTACATGGCGCGCATTGAGGATTTTGCCAGCAATGGAGCAACATGTGTTGTGACATTCCTGGAATATGGCAATATGGAGGAAGTTCTGCTGTCTGATATTGAAGCCCTCTCACAGCAAACTTGGGTAAGTTGACCTCTCAGGAGCTGCACGGGTGGCCCAGTCGTCGAAGGCGCCGCGATTCGCTGTGCAGAGTTGCGTCCCTTGGGCACGCCAGAAACCAATGATTGTGGGTTGGAATCCCAGTTCGCCCCGATTATGTTTCTAGGTTTGTCAGCACCATACCCGTGTTCGTGGGTTTGCCCTGACGGCGGCCTGTAAATAAAAGAGGATGAAACATAATCGGGGCGAAGCAGGATTCGAACCCACAATCATAGGTTTCTGGCGTGCCCAAGGGACGCAACTCTGCACAACAAATCGAGCACCTGAGACGACTGGGCCACCCTTGCCCTCCATTTGGGAAATATATTTTGAATGTGAATTCTTTTGTTTCACAGCCTAAATCAATTTGACAGATGCACACACACACTATTTTCTCTGTTTCTTTTCAACAGCAACCCCCGAACAACTCGCGTAATTACCACAAGGGCCCCCCGAGTCAGCAATCCTACTACAACAACCCCCCTCACAATGCAGGGGCAATGGTCATGCAAGGCCCGCCCCCCTTCCCCGGCCAGGCCGGGTTCGCAGGGCCAATCAACTCCATGGAGTTTCGACGCAGCGGTAATGGAGCCGGCTTCCAAGGGGGACAAGCCCGCCCTGACAAGCGCCGACCAACCCAACAATACTACCAACCCCAAGCCCGGCAGTTCCAGTCATGATGTGGGCTGCTGCGTGGCGGCATACAGTGTTAATTTATCAGGATGTATTTCATATAGTGCTGAAGACATTGTTCTACACAAAATTGACAGTGGAGTCCAGTTGTGTCAGTCCAGACTGAATGCTTTAGTGAAATTTTGTATTTAGATATCTTTTTTTTTTCAGTTCATTACCCCATAGGCCAATCTGTCACTATTCCTAGAAGACAGTTTTTCATTTATTTCCCTGTCACACTACAACGTTGTAGAGTAACTTGCACCTAGCTTGTAAAAAACAGTTAGTACGCTGTCATACGTCGAGCTGTCATCGAAAAACCATGATTTTAGCGTATCCATAGTGTATACATGACGAGAGTTTACTGTATATGTTACGCATGTCTAACGTATTAGTAGCGTATCACTGACTTATACATAACTTATGACAGCGTATAAAAGCGTATGGCCAGCGTATGAGTAACATATGACTAGCGCGCTCAGCGTAGGGGAAAGGTGCCTGAAACGGGCCGTATGGGCAACGTGTATCTGGCGTATGTAAACGTATGTAAACGTATGTAGAGCATTTCATTCATACCTTAATACGTTCCCATACACCAAAAATTATGTGCATGCACTAAAGTGTTTTTAAGCCGCAGCGTACTACAACGTATACCAGCGTGCTTTTGACGTATACAACTTACACCTAACTGATCCATAGCGTGTTTCAGCGTGTCGTACGTCGCCATATATTACTGCTATACGTTGAAGTGTGACAGGGCCATTAAGTACTTAGTTTCCGGATTTGACGGCTATTTCACATGTTGAATCAAATGTAGACGTGACACCCACTGCGATTTTGGCGGAATCGTTACGATATTTTAGGCCAATTTCTGCAAATACGATTTAGTGATACATATTACAACTTTTCCAAAGGACATTGCCTGTAATTTCAACTACCGGTACATATTGACCTTGAAAATCATGCATATAGTATACAACTATTGATAATCAGTTAATAATCACATTTGTTTGATGGGAAGGTTTGCCGATTTAGAGGAGTTTGGGAGATAAAATGTGATGCAAAAAATTATTTGTTTTGGTTAAAACCATACATGGTGTTGTTTTTTTAGACACCATTTTGCCAGATATTCCTTGATGCCTCAATTTAGGGTTGTTGTTTTTTTCTCCTCCAGTTGGGACTGTTGACTAGTGTAAAGGATGAAAAAAAATGAACATAGAAAACACACTAAAATACAATCAGTTGAAGATTTCTATGCTGTTACAGTGAACATGTATCAGGAATTTCATTTCAAGGTCACAAAATATTCAAGTTCTTTTTTATTGTATTCTTCCCTTAGGTGAGATTGATTTCCTCAACAGTTCATTGTCATGTTTGATGCCCAGTCAACCAAGGTGCAACAGCTCACTGTACAGAGTTATTTTCCTTAGCTGTGAAAGGATCTGCTGGTCATGTTAATGATACACACTTATTTTTTTGACAAATGATCAGGTCTTATATCTGACAGTGGTAGATTAAGCCATAGTCAGTGATGGGCTTGACTCCGTAGCTGTAGACTAAAACAGTTTCTATTCTATAACAAGGTAATGGCTAGTTCTAGTTGCTGATGCTGAAAAATTGAATCTTATCACTAAAGCAATGTGTTTTGCCTACTGTACCTCATGCTTGAGACTTAAATTTGAAAGTTTCTTCTCAATGATTTCATGTTTAGTTACCTTTACTTCAATGTCATTAAGGGGGCACGGGTGGCCCAGTTGTCTAAGGCGCCACAATTCGCTGTGCAGAGTTGCGTCCCTTGGACAACCCTGAAACCTATGATTGTGGGTTCGAATCCCGGTTCGCCCCGATTATGTTTCTAGGTTTGTCAGCACCATACCCGTGCTGGTGGGTTTCACCGAAGAGGTAAATGTCTGAGACCTGCATCACTTGGGGCTTTCCTCCCACATTAAGCTGACACGCCATGATATAACTGGAATACTGTTAAAAGCGGCGCTAAACCTTACTCACTCACTCACTCAATCTCATTAAAATCAGATCTTAGTTCTCGCTACCGCTAAACAAAGATCTGAGGACATCAGGAGGTCACGTCAGACCAACCAATGGAATGACTGACAAGAGTCGACATTAGCCAATTAGAAGGCACTAGTTTCAATCTGGCAACTACGCTTCGAAACATATCTTGATGAATTCTTGATTAAAAATTAAAAACTGAACAAAAGAACATTCTGGAATGGCTAATAGATGACCTGGATTGTATGGATTCAGTCATAAAGCCCATCACTGTCGTTCAGAAAAACCAGTGTTAAATGTGTAGAGGTTGTATGATTAGAAAACACATTCCGACTGTCACTTTCCTGACACTCTGATTGGTCGGATGAAAGATACTCTGATTGGTCGGATGAAAGATTTTGACGTGACGTGAATGGGATGTCCTCAGATCTTCGTTCAGCGGTAGTGAGAACTAAGATCTGATTTGAATGAGCTGGTCTTTACTTCCTTTGTAATGTGCTATTGTATTGATGTTTTAGTCCCTATCTTCGTTTTGCTCAGGATATACCTTTTATATCTACAAGAAAATAATGTATTATGATAGTTATTTTTTATTTTTTTGCATTTGGAACTCGCTGTCTATAATAGTTTTCAAGAAACAGAAATTACATAAGTTGGTCTGAATGCTCCGCTCACTTGTACCAAGGATTTAGGAGTCAAGGCACAGACACAACTGCATTCTACACTAATAGTTTTCAATACTTCTGAAATATTGCCCACACATGTAGACATTCAATATTTTATATGGTTATACATTATACATACATTTATACATCAAATGGATATAAGAGTAGTTTATAGATTTGCAGTTTTTATATATTTTGTGGGGAAATAAAGCAGCCGACAAAATGAGGCATAATAACAGACTGACTGCCTGACAGTGCTGCTGGAGTTTGTAGTGCATGAGTAGGTCTAGTGTATGCACTGGTGGCTTGTGAAACACTGCCAGAAACTGAATTTCTCATCATACAGAAGATCATTGTTTTGTTCAAGAATATTTTAGCTGCTGAGAAAGATTGAATGGTGGAAATATTACTGCTGCAGCATTCAACAATAAGCTTGTTACTGCTGCAGCATTCAACAATAAGGTTGTTACTGCTGCAGCATTCAAGAGTAAGGTTATGTTCCTGCTGCAGCATTCAACAATAAGGTTATATTAGTCCCGCAGCATTCAAGTGTTAGGTTATTTTACTCCTGCAGCATTCAACAAAGTTGTTTCTCCTGCAGCACTCAACAAGAAGGTTATGTTTCTACTGCAGCATTCAAGAGTCAGGTTATGTTTCTGCTGCAGCATTCAACAATAAGGTTAAGTTACTGCTGCAGCATTCAACAATAAGGTTATGTTACTGCTGCAGCACTCAACAAGAAGGTTATGTTTCTGCTGCAGCATTCAACAATAAGGTTAAGTTACTGCTGCAGCATTCAACAATAAGGTTATGTTACTGCAGCATTCAAGAGTCAGGTTATGTCAGGATGCATTCAACAATAAGTTTATGTTACTGCTGCAGCATTCAAGAGTTAGGTTATGTAAATGCAGTAGCATTCAATAGGAAAATCACTGCCGATTCTACCTGTGATGACGTGTGAGGTCAGTGTGATTAGAATCACTTTTACCTCATCAGTAGTATACATGTATATCAATATACATATATTTACACATACAGTCGGCAACATAGGGCAGTTTACAAATATATATTTATTTATAAGTATGTATACTATTAGAATTCTTTTTTAAATAGTTGGTTGGCAAATGTGTAAAAAAATATATATATTCACCTTAAATCCTCAACATCCACTCGCTCATTCATATTCACTGAGGGGTTTCAAAAAGACAAGAGAAGCCTTTAGCTTTTCTCCCACCTTATACCAATAATGTAGATGTGACTGAATACCAGTAAAGTAAAAGCCAAGAGGATTCCAGATAAGAATATAGGTGCCAGCAACCTTTGCTTGTCATAAGAAGCAACAAAATGGATCTGGTGGTCAAGCTCGGTGACCTGGTTGATTGCATGTACCATGGTTGTTGTCGTGTCCCATGGATGCTGTCAGTTCCTGGATTGTCAGGTTCAGTTGATTGTTTACAGGCTGTGGTCACATGGCTGAAATATGGCAGTGGGCGGCATTAAACAACAAACAAACGCTCACACTCACACTCAACAGAGATCCAACTTATTTATGGGCAGATGCCATAGTCATCCTCCAATACGTCGGAGACTTGCATCACTTCGGGCTTTCCTCCCACATTAGCTGACACGCCGTGATATAACTGGAATACTGTTAAAAGTGGCGTAAAACCCAACTCACTCACTCACTTACCCTCCCATATCCTTAGACGCCGAAGACCCAGGTTCGATTCCCGACATGGGTACAATGTGTGAAGCCCATTTCTGGTGTCCCCCCGCCGTGATATTGCTGGAATATTGCTAAAAGAGGCGTAAAACCATAGTCACTCACTCACTCACTCACTCACTATGAGTGGTAATCGAAGACAGGTATTCAGTTCTCCATTGACAACAGTGAGCCAGTGAATATAAACCATGTGTTATACTTTGTTTCATGTTGAAAATGTTTGTTATGCGATTGTGTAGGGTTTATGATTACAAAATACTCTTTTTCATTTTTTAGTGTTTTACTGAGAAACCTGGTTAACAAGGTTAATGGCTGATATCATTCATTGTCTGGCATCCCTCATTCACTTGTGTTATTTATAACAATGCAGGGATTATTTGGATTTGTGAAGGGAGTCCTGGGTATTTACAGATGGCGCTGTGTCTGTGTACTGGGTCTGCAGTGCACACACTGATACTGTATCACCCCTGCAGCTGTGGTCTAGTACAAGCAGCCACACACATGCATGTTGCTTTGAGTGCAACGTCAATCTCATTAAAATCAGATCCTAGTTCTCGCTACCGCTAAACAAAGATTTGAAGACACCCAATTGGGGGTCACTTCAGAACGACCTTTCATTCGACCAATCAGTGCGTCGCTTACCAGATTATGAAAGTGACTGTCGGAATGTGATTTCTAATCATGCAATCTCGAAAACTTTAACATGGGGTATTTCGAACGATAGTTACGGGTTTAACAACTGAATCCTTACATTCTAGACCATCTATTAGTCATTCCTGAATGTTTTTTTGTTCAGGTTTCAAATTTGTAATCGAGAATTTGTCAAAATATATTTCGAAGCGTAGTCGCCAATTTGAAATTTGTGCCGTAAAGAACGAGAAAGCTGGTTTCTGATTGGTCATTCCATTGGTCGGTCTGAAGTGACCCGTAATGGGATGTCCTCAGATCTTTGTTTAGCGGTAGCGAGAACTAAGGTCTGATTTTAATGAGATTGAGTGCAACATTAAACCCCATGTTTATTCACCCCACCCTGTAATATCTGTGAGGACTGTGGAATACATGAGGCATCGTAAGTACAGGGGTCATAAACAGGAATGCACCTCAGCACCATCCTGATGGCCCGAATCACTTTGTCTCATGTTAAATTAACTCAAGGGCATCCACATATATTAGCACAATTCAGGCTAGAAAATGTTTCAGTTAAATCCCAAGTCATGAGAAAAGTATTTATTTGTGTTCAGCTTCAGAACTCTGTGTACAGGGTTGCCATGGGATGCAGGGTTTCCGGGTTAAAACTGATCTTAATGGGAAAATATGGATGGAAAGGGTGAGTGGTTAATCGCCCAAGGCTTTGCAATTTGATGTGCAGAGTTGCATTCCTTAGGCATGCCAAAAACGTTTGGTCATGGGTTTGAATTCCAGATTCACCCTGATAATTTATCAGTAGTTGTCAGTACCACACCCATAAAGGGTTCCTGGGTATCACTAGCCGAAAGCCACAATGGGGTCCTACAGTCAAGACATCACCCTACTGTCATGTCGCGACTGGAGGACCCCATGATCGCAGCTCTCGGCTAGGGTTTCAGTAAAGTGATAAACGTCCAAGACCTGGATCACTTCAGGCTTTCTTCCCATATCAATCTGTCACACCGTGATACGACTGAAGTACAATTCAAAGCAGCATTAAACCCAACTCACTCAAATTTGGGGGGACTCAAAAATATCTCTACCATCAAATTTGGGTCATGAGCTTGCCATTTATATAAAATATTTATGTCAACATCAAGGCTTTATTTCCTGTTTGATTTTGTCTTAATTCAGTTTTAGTTTTAGCACACACAACTCTGGAATTCGATCATGGCTTTATAACATGGCTCCCTAAGGGAGATAACTCATTAATTCCAGTTGAGCACAGCCTCAATTTGAGGCTGTAATGATGAACACATGTATGGTATGTACATTACATCCACACTTCTCACTGCCAGTTAAATACACCATTACCAGGCCCACTTGCACAAAGCGATCTTAGCGCTTAGATGATCGTAACTCCCATACGTTAACATAGGCTTACAAAAGTCGTAGCGCTAAGATCGCTTTGTGCAAGTGGGACCAGGTATCCTCTTAGAGATTTGTGTAGGCATTGAATAAGTTGTTTGGAATGCATGTATACAGAATTAGGACTCCAAGATGGTTATTACAAAAAGATATACTGTAACCCTGTAACTCAACACTAACTTTTTATAAGGTATTTAGGGATGAAATGGTATTTTTATCTGAAAATCTGAAATCATCATTTTAATCACATGAAGTAACATTTCAGGTCGGAACTACTTTCAGTCTTGACAAAGGTTTTGAGTGACCATCAGTAAAATAAATGGAATAAATTTGAAGATCAAGAATCTTTTCTTGTGAAATAACATGTACCAGTACTACAGAAAAAGTTCAAAACAC